ACAGGGCCAAATCGACTCAGCTCGTCGCCCTGATCAAGAATATATATACTTTGTATGGTCTGCCACGCCTCCTTCTGCCTGCTTCATACTTTTACCAAAACCATTATACCCTGGTTTCCCATATTCAATGGGCTCAGGGTATAATAACGAAGTGGATGGGAGTAAGCAATCTGCAATTGTTTGATCCATATGCGAATGCCTGTGTTTATGTATCTACTACACATAACTAATTCGTTGGCATTCGTATTTCTTTGGTATGTCACGCATTTGATTGGATGGAGGTGCGGATAATACAAGTTTGAATTGCAAATACGTACAAACATATGCAAACTGTTTATGCCGCCGATACAAAAATTTGCAATACTTGCGCATGCATATATAGCAATATTCGTATACGTTCATGTGTATAAATATATGTACATATAGCAGCATACATAAAGCGTCCAATTCGTGCTCGTCTGGTCGTCAACTCTTGATAACGCCCGCACGCGGGGCCCAGAGAGTTTGCCTCGGCGTCGTTGACATCGACGTCGTTTTCAAAAATGCGGCATTTGACACATTTATGAAAATCGGAATCGGAATGCGCCACAAACTCATATTATTGGAATGTTTTATTTTCAGTTTGGTCGTAATACGCAATATATGTGCGTGTGCATTCCCTTATACATATGTGCATATGTGTGCGGGTATGTATATTTGTATACGCAGCTTAAGTTGCAACATATTCACTTCAGGTGCGAATTTAGGCAATGATTCATTCTGTAAGGAGAAACAGCGATGGCGATTAACAAGTTGGAGACCACTAAATATCTATGTACATCTGCATGTTTCTGTACATATACACATAAGTGTCAGGCAAGACATTGCTAAAATTGTTAAAATACTTTCGAGGTCATAGGACGTGAGTGCAGAGGTGAAACCCATAATATATGAGGAGGCACGCAGACAGACCCAGAAATATAAATAACAAAAACCGGTGTCAGGCAGTGTCAGGTCCATAAAAGTAACATCATCAAAAAGTAAGCCTGGCTGTTACTGTTTATGCGGAATTGGTTAATGGGATAGATATTTGTTAACACTAAATTAAGAACAGTCGACCAAATGTCAGTCGGGCACTCACCGCTCGAATTGTTTTGCACCATGGTGGCCGCTCGAGAAAGAACGTCCAGAGCAGATTCCATTTTATGTATCTTGTATTTTTTGATAGCAGGAAACGGTCTGCGCGGTGACTCTAGCTATGGCCGTAGACAAGGACGTGAACTCTTCGATGTGCACCGCATGAATTTCACACTGTAAATACAAGAAACAAATTGACCAAGTCACAAAGTGGATAGATACATGTACATGCTACATAGGCATTTTAAAACCATAACATCAAAGCCTGCAAACAGACGCATGCATATACATACATACAGATGTAAACGGAGCGCGAAACGTAACAAAGAGTGGCGTTGTGGCCGCTGACTGGTTGAAACAAACAAGGCGAAATCCTGCTGATGCTGCTGCTGGCTGCAAGTAGTTTTCAGTTTTCACCGCTAGGGCGATGGACACGGGTTAGGGGTGGAAAGGCCGCAAGCACGATGCAGTTGGGACAGGTTTGAAGACGGCAGCAACAGCATGAGCCGTCACAGCCCAAAATTTGGCACTAACCAGGTACAGCAGCAGAGCGCGGTCACAGCACACGTAACCGAAACGGATTTACCAAAATGCCACATTGTTGCCAAGCATGACAGCAGCTGAAATTTTTTTTTTACATTTACCTTTGCTTGGATGTCTTAAAATTTTGTTATAGTCGTTGAGGAAGACTTGTTTTTAAGATTTATATGATACGATTTTTGATGGTCTCCTGATGGCCGATGGAATTGCAAATATTTGAATATATTTTTGAGATCTCTTGTTAGCTAAAGAGCTTGTAAACGCTTTACTAAATGCTATTTAAATCCACTGTAAAATTTACGAAAAACAACACACTGCAGTGTTGGAAAACATTACTCATCTGCTTTATGGGCTCATTGCTGCGTCTTTGGTCTTTGTTTGCGTTACGTTGTGATTGTGCGTTTACGTTACTCATTTTTGCGTTTCTGCATCTGCACTACGTTACAGTTCCTGCGGCTTTCTCGCGCTATCATTGAAATTTTAATATTTAATTACAAAATAATATAAGCAATAAGAACTATTAAGCATAGGAAGAAAATAAAATATAAACAATAAAAAGTATAATTTATACGATATTCATTTAATTTTATGGTTACTGAATGCTTTTTGTTGTACATACATACATACAGTGGGCCAAAAAAGTATTGGCTCACTTGAAATATCAAACTTCTAAGAGCTGAACACAGCTATAAATAAATTAAAAACGGCATTTATTAAATCCATGTTTTCTAATAATATTTAACAAAAAAAAAAAATAAAATAAAATTCTTGTTTGGTTCACTTGCATAGAACTAAAATATAAATATTGTAGACGGACAATCAATCTAATTGAAACTTGCAGGACATAATCATAACGTTTAAATGTGTGTACAACTCTCTAGTACTCGAAATACGTTTTTTACAAATTTTTGGCGAAGGGGGCTTGGTATCCAAAATCTATAAATTACGAAATGTTTGTATTTATCATATGTACACAGTAATTCTAAAGTCTCCAGGTCTAAAAGTGTTCAAATGAGGCAGTAAAAACAAAATAAATTTTACGATTATTCTCGATAAAAAAGTTATCGGATGATTTATCGGAAAAATAAGATAACTTTGTACTGCGTATGGTATACACGAGTATGGGGTCTGCGATGATTCCTTCTGCCCGTTACATACTCTTTTACAAAACCATTATGCCGTGATTTCCCATTTTTAATGGGTAAAGGGTATAACTAGTAAGAAAGCTCTAGTCGAGACTGCGAATTTATTTGTTGAATAATTTAATTTCTAGGCGTACAATTTTAATGAAAATTTCAGAAGGTAATCATAATGTTTAAATGTATGTAAATTCCGAAGCACAAGTCTACAAAGGTGGGAAATCAGAGTATAATGTATGTAACAGGCAGAAGGAGGCATGGCAGACCCCACAAAGTATACACTTGGCCCTCGCTAAACACGGGGGCTAGAAATCCTCGTGTTAAGCGAAATCGTGTTAAGCGAAACATGGATTCAGTACAAAATAAGCGAGGGCCAAGTATATATATATGATTCATGAAGAAAGTACATCCACAAGAAAAGTTATTAAACAATTAAGTTCCCATAGTAAGCTCACACGGCAACCCATGTATGTTTATGCGTGCGAAATATGTATTTCTTTTAATTCAAGTCAATACATGTCCTTTATTGGTAAAATACAACTGAGCTCTTACTCAATGCTAAGGGATCTTAGATACCGTTATTGGAGACAATCTGGAATATACTCTGTGAGTTCTCTTCTACAATTCTTGTATACAATCAGGTATATTTATACTGAGTGCCTTGCAGTTGGGATATGGGATATATGCTGAAGTATGTTTATATTATGCAGCTGGGCTGTGACAAGAGTTTATGTTTACAATATTGGAGTTAAGTGGTTTGCAAAAAGTGTCCGAAATTCCTATGACACTTCTGGTCTTGGATTTTCTAGTTCTTGTGATGGATTTTCTACATTAAAGAAGAATGTAAGCCTTTTGTGTCAACTGTACCTGTACATATATCTCAGAAAAATTTTATTTTTTTTTTAAGCAAGCGAACGGACAAGAAGAACCGATTCTTCATATAAAAAGGTTTAGAGGTGGAAGCTGTTCATTTAAATTATATGTAAAAATGGCTTGAGTTTTTAAGCGTAAGCCCCAAACTTATACATCTCTAGACCCTATCTGGTTAGTCAAAAATTAGTTGAGATATTGGGAAATTTCGTATCTACATATCTGTATCTGAAATACTCTGAAATCGCTTTAATCAATCTCATAACTTGTTTTCAAGACAATTTTTTTTTTTAATTTAAAAAAATATATTTATTTATATTTGTATAACGCCGTAGCCATCAAGATTTTAAATACCTACATTGTTCATACACAATCTAAAGATTTAAAACCATGGTGGCTCCAACGGCAGATTTTGATTTATAAAATTCCGAAAGTGCTGCTATTAATTAAGTTAATTAAGAAGCCTATTTATATAAATATTCATTTATATATATATTCATTTATATAAATATTCATATATATATATATATATATATATATATA